CCAGCGGGGAGGGCTCCGCACTCCCGTCCCGGGGCCCGGCGCGTCGCCCGCACGGGGGTCCCGGGGTGCAGAGAAACGCTCGGCACCGCCATCGTGTGCCCGGCGACCCTGTCCCGCTCCTGCGCCCCGCGGAGCCAGGGCCGGGGGCACCCGGGAGCTGCAGCATTTGCCAGAGCCAGGCTGAGCGCGGCCGAGCCCTTGGAGCGTCCCCCTCCACGGTTCGGTCTCCCCAGCCTGTGCCAAATCCGCCCCCCCGGCTGCAGAGCCTTCAGGGGCGCCTCCAGCAGCCCCGAGGGGCCGCAGCCCTCAGAGCCCCCGCCGCCCAGTGCTAGAGGCAGGTTGGCAGCGCTGATTCCTCCCCAGAGCGGCAGCGCCCAGCCACCACGGCTGGCAGCGCTTGCGGGGGTGACGGCGGGGACCCCACACTGCGACGGCTGACCCGGGGACAGGCCTGAGCCCGGGTGCTGCCGGGGGTTTCCAGCCCCCCGCCAGTGACAGGGTCACACCTCGCTGCTCTCAGCCCCCTCGGGGCGCAGGACAGGGCGTCTATGCTGGTTAACAAGAAAATTACAGTTTCTTTTTCTCCATGCGCACTCTACCCTGCTTACTGAGCTCCGTGAACTGCCCAGGTAATTATTGCCCACACCCTGATGAGCGCAGTGCTGGGCTGCAGCTCCAGCCCCCGCCAGAGCGGCTTCTTGGTCTGCAGCCGCCCGGAGCAGCGTCAGCGAGAGGCCTTTTAGTTCAAATCGTAAAGGTTTGGCAGAGTCTGAAAGAATTTACTCCAGGGGACCAGGCAACGTCCAGCTCCAGGCGTGACCTCGTCCCCCCAGTCCTGCTCATAGCCCCACCGTTCCCAGCTGCATCCCCTGGCTCCCCCCGCCACCTCAGCCCCTCGCACAGCCCTTGCTGGCCTGGCCTCAGTCACCTGCCCTTGGCTTCCCCCTTGGTACCGGCTCGGCTGGGCAGCAAGCAGTCCCGAGCACTGCGGGACGGCCACCGCCGAGTGTCTCAGTGGGCAGCGTCACCTCCCGTCTTGGCATCGGGCTGATGGAGGTGCCCCATGCCGGCCAGTCTTGCTGCCTCGAGCATCGGGCAGCTGAGTCCTGCGAGCAGAACCTGCTCCTTGTCCCAGCCACGCGCCCCCGGCCCCTCCACCAGCTCTCGCTTTGTCCCTGCGCTCTGCCAGAGCCAGAGCCCACCGACCTCTGCTGCCAGGGCTTGGCTCCCAGCGTGCTCCTGCAATTAAATACATAACAAGGTACTTGGTCACCACCCGAGGGAGCAAGACAAAGGACTCGGTAAGGACAGGCTGGCCAAGGAGTAGGTTTGCTGAACTTCCGAGCACCAGTGTGCGTCTCTGGTCACCTGCACTTCAGGAGCAGCCTGCCTCGGCTCAAAATAACAAATAAAAGGAAAAAAAGGCTTTACAAACTGCTGCCTTCACTGACAGAGTTCCCAACTGTTCTGTCATTAAAGGAGGTCAGTGATTTCCTCATCTCTGTTGTTGAAAGCATCCCTGGAGAGCTGCAGAGATGCTGCGAGCAGGCAGTGCGGGGCGCTGGGCTGTTCCTGCCCGCCGCAGCGCAGCACTGGCACTGCCGCGGCACCAGTGCTGCTGGCCGCGGAACACCACGTGCACGACACGGACCCACGACTCGTGGCACTTCCTTGTCTCCCAGCTTTTAACTAATAAACCTCACAACCTGTTTGATCTGTGCTGAGATATGCAGCACCGCAAGGCTGCAAGGTCACACAGGCAACGGTAACCCACCCCAGAGCCACTTTCCTTTGGGACAGCAAAACCCAGCCGGGGCGGACTGGCTTCCCCGGTGCCAACTGGCTTCCCCAGTGCCTGCAGCCCGTCCAGAAGCAGGGGGGGCTCTAGGGGTAAAGCCGTGAAATTCCCAAACCCCCAAAAAGCTGCGTCAGAGAACTACCAGGGCTTTTAACCTCCAGAGCCGCCCTCACCTCGTTAGGCCAGAAGAGACTGGTGGTAGTAAACGATTCTTCAGTCCAACAGCCAGGGACAGGGCGAGAGCGACGGCTGGAAGCTGAAGCAAGACCAGTCCAGCCAGGGAAGGTCTGCACTTCAGCAGCGCGGCACATCGACCCCCAGGCTGCTCTACCCAGGAGCTCTCCCCACTCCCGCAGACACCCCTGCCCCAGGCCAGTGCTGGGCGCTGCCTGCAGGAAAGCCCAGCCAGGCTCCCTCACCACCGCGCCGGTCGCTGCTCCATGCCGATGAGGCTGGGCCTGCAACACAGCTCAGGCTGGGCCTCCCTGATCGGGGGGCGAAGGGCAACGCAAGCGCTGAGCCCCGGAGCAGAGGCCCCGCAGGGAGAGGCTGGCTGGTTCTGCCCTGAAGAGGTTGAGGGCGATTACAGCTGCCCGCGCTTCTTGGAGGGCCACTGCAGGGAAGAGAAAGCCCAGCTCCTCACAGTAGCGGCAGACAACGAACCAAGACGGGGGTGGTCAGGCTGCTGCAGGGAGTTCACACTGGTCATTAGGAAAAAAAATTCACCATGAGGGCACTGCAGCATGGAGCGGGTCAGATGCCGGATCGGTCTGAAAAAACCCAACGTTCTTCTGCCTTTCGTCCAGAGCGAGACAGAGGCGAGGGCAGGGGGTGACCACAGCACCTGGCCGACAGAGAAGGAAAGGCACGGACACGGGGCAGAGCTGTATGCTGGTTTTTAATGTTCCTAAGAACTAGGAAACAGAAATCAAAAATAGACTTTGCTCTTCTTGATAAAAGTAATAAAATGGTTAGCGGTGTTAAATTAATCCTTACAAAACAAAACCCAAGGAGGTTAAATAAAGCCCGGAGGCTCCGCATAAAAACCACAACGACTACAAAACAGCTGCAAAGACATCTTTACACACCAAAGAAACTCCTCTTCTCCGCTCCTCCCCATACGGTACACAGCGTCGGCAAACACGGGACTCACACATGTGGGAAAGAAACACGGATGCAATGGGAGCAGCCCTGCGAGGAGCAGGGGCGCCATGGACAGAACTATTTACACTATGGACACGGAGCTGTGCTGGTGCCAGTCTGGCCGCAGGAGCCCCCAGGCTCTGCCCGCCCTTCTCCTGCCGGTGCCGGGCTGCGGCCAGCTGCCGGGGCCCCTCCAGCCGCGGCGCTGGGCGCCGAGCACTCGCGCTTGTCATCCATCCCTCCATCTGTCCCGCCGTCCTTCTGCCCGTGCGTGCGTCCCAGCTCTGGCTGCCCCTTCCCTCAGCGCTCTGGCGTCAAAGGGGCTGCCTGCTCCTCCTGCTGCGCCACGCTGGGTTCCCTTGCCCTCCGGCGAGGGCCGCAACTGAGCCTCCTCTCCCCGCCAGCGGCTGGGCGCTCCCCGGTGCTCCTGGGCGGAGGTGGCGTGCAGTTTGCAGAGGAAAGCAGGTGCCGTGGAGCTGCTGCGCAGGAGTCCCCTGGGCCAGTGCTACGCAGCCAGCAGTCTCTCCACTGCCCTGGCAAGCCTCCTTGGGGCTGCCGGCACCTCCCCTGCTGCCTTGCACCTCTGCACCTTAGTTGGGATTAGTCTCCCGGCTGCTGCTTTGCTCTCGGCCCAGCTCCCGCTCTTTGTCTGCTGTGGAGGAGGAGGAGGAGGAGGAGGATGAGGAGGAGGAGGAGGAGGATGAGGAGCTCAGGGTCCGGCCTGAATGCTTGTAGGCTGCAACGAGCTCCTGCAGCCGCTCCGGCGTGGGCTCCCACTTGGCAAAGCCCGCGCTGTTCTGCAG